GGCCAAAGTGCCAGGCCTCTAGGTGTCTTCCTGTAACTTGGCACTTAAACCTCTCTCTCCAGGACTTGCCTGTTTTACTCTTGACCATGGATGGGTCTCATCTACATGGGATTAGAGGGTCAGTAAATTCTTCCCAGGTCACTCACTGGGTCGCTCCTATGGGCAGTACAAGCTCTCACTCCCTGCAAATCATTCACTGACACCGCAGCGACTGAGAGACATGTGCCCATCCTGGAGACTCATTCTTAGATATGTCAGTGCTGAATGCTGGGAGGACCTCGAACCTTCCTTTCCTCCTCTCCCTCCCTCTCTTCCTTTCTCCCTTTCTTCTTTCTTTCCTTTCTGGGGCCATGTTTCTCTGTTGGCTTCCTTTTCTTTTATTTTCTGACTTATCTTTTGCTTATTTATTAATGTAATAAAACTTATTAAACTTTCTATAAGAATATCTTTCTCCCTGGTTTCACTCCCTTCCCTTTAATATCTCAGGGCTTGGGTGGGACTGCTGCCTCCTCACCTCCCCTGGAGCTCAGACTTTGAAGACGGAGTGGATTGCCCACTCAGAGAGTATGGGGCAAGTGCCTGACCTGGTGGGCTCTGTAGCCCACTTGGGCAGGCCCCAGCTCCTGGTAGGGAGTGAGGGGCTCATAGAATTCTCTGAGGCAGTGTTGGTTGGATAATTGAGTTATAGGAATAAGAGCTTACATTAGGTGGGACTCAGGTGAAGGTGAAGTCCTGACTGTGACCTTGGGACCCTGCTCAGCAGGCTGCAAAGGTCATGCAGAGTAGGAAAAGAAAAAAAAAATTTTTAAGTTGAAACACAGACCACTACCATGTTTTGTGTATTCATGTGTATATGTTTGTGATTCCTTTTATTTTTAATTTCCCCCCCAAATCAGCTGTCAGCTGTCAGAAACTCGGTTTGCCTCGCTCTGGAATTGTTCCTCCTGGTTCATCCTCATGCAAAAAGGGACCACCTGCTCCATCAGCCCCAGCCTTGCCAGGCTTCCTTTCCACCCTGGATACCCATCTCTGCCCCTCCTACCAGTCTGAATGAATGTTTCTTCTTTAACTCAGACCTCCATACAGTTTAATTTTGGGGCAGTTCTGGTTATTTTTGTTTTTAAATTTGTTGTCCTTTTGGTTGTGCGAAGAGGCAAAGTATATCTACTTATGCCTCCATCTTGGCTGGAGGTCTTGCATTTTTTGGTGAAAGGTTTTATTTACTTATTTTCAGATGGAGGGGAAGGGAGGGAGAAAGAGAAGGAGAGAAACCTCCATTGCCCCCTACATGCCCCCAACTGGTCACAGCCAATACTTGCAGCTAAGTGGCCTAGGTAATTCTTTCCCATTGATCTGCCTACAGCAACCAAGGCTTAACTACCAAAGAAGAGTGTACTCAGCTCACATGAAGGACACACCTCAAGAACCCAGCTTGGGAGATAGGGGAGGCTGTGCCACTGGTCCCTGCAGGACACCTAGTACATTAGGCCACACTGCCAAGACAGGGAGTCATAGCGGCTCTACCTAATACACAGAAGGAGCCAAAAGGAGGAGACAAAGAAACATGGCCCAAATGAAAGAACAGATCAAAACTCCAGAAAAAGAGCTAAATGAAATGGAGATAAGCAATCTACCAGATGCAGAGTTCAAAACAGTGGTTATAAGAATGTTCAGAGAACTTCAGCAGCACAGAAGAGATCCAGTCAGAAACGAAGGATACACTGATTTAAATAATGGACAATTTACAGGAAAATAACAGTGATTAGCTGAAGCTGAGAATTAAATCAATGATTTGGAACATAAGGAAGAAAAGGCAATCGATCAGAACAATAACAACAACAATAACAAAAATGAGGAGAGTGTAAACAACTTGTGGGACAACTTCAAGCACCCAACGTTCACTTCATAGGGGTGCCAGAAAGAGAAGAGAAAGAGCGAAAAATTGGAAATCTATTTGAAAAAATAATGAAAGAAGATCCATTTTCTCTACCATAATTTGGTGGGGGGAATAGACATGCAAGTCCAGGAAGCCCAGAGAGTCCAAACAAGAAGGACGTACCCTTACTGTTGTGGCTCAGTGAATCAAAGGGTCACTGGTCTGATTCCCAGTCAGGGCACATGTCTGGGTTGCAGGCCAGGTCCCCAGTAGGGAGTGCATGAAGGGCAACCACACATTGATGTTTCTCTCCCTCTCTTTCTCATTCCCTTCCCCTCTTTCTAAAAATAAACAAATAATAAATCTTAAAAAGATAGATGGATGAAAAGAGGTCCACTGAAGACACATCATAATTAAAATGCCTAAGGCTAAAGATAAAGAGATGGGTGGAGGGTGTAGAAGAATGGGTGAAGAGGTGAGGGGATTAAGAAGTACAAATAGCCAGTAACAGAATAGCCCTGGGGATGGAAAGTACAGTATAGGCAATGGAGTAGTTGAGAATTTACTGACCCCTGGGTATGAACAGGGTGGGGGGATTGCCTGAGGGAGTGAGGTTTGGTGGGTGGGAGGGACAAAGAGGGAAAAATCAGGACAAGTGTAATAGTACAATTAATAAAATATAATAAAAAGGGGATTAATTCTTTCCACCTACTGTCATGTTAAAAATCACAGTTCATTTTACAAATCACCTTTGTTTTAATGGCTTAAGTATGTATCTGAAACTTTTGTAAATATTGAAGCAACTAAAAGATGAGAGGTATTATAAGGCTTTTAAAGAAAGTAAAATACTAACATCATTAGCATGAGGATAATTTATATTTGATAAAGAAAAATTGTTTGCGGTCAGTGAACAGGATTTGTTGTTAAAGCAGCTGGAACATGACCCTGATGAGCGGGGGGGGGAAAGGGCAGCGAGGTCTGCAGCTTGATGCCCTTCCTATCTGTGTGCCCCAGAGTCCTTCAGGAAAATCTGCTGTCAGCCCCCTCCCTCACTATGGAATCAAAGTGCTGGGATTTATGGTATGATAAGCCTCCTGGCCCTATCAGCCTGGGACAAGTCTGAGTCCAAGGTCCCTTTCTGCTTCTCCCCACCCTGACTTGTGTGTGATTAGGGACTGGGCTGGGCTTAAGGGCTGGGGAGAGGGTGGAGGGCAGGGTACTCCTTGCAGCTCTAGCCTTCCCTGCCCCCCATTCTTTAAAGTTCCTGGATTAAGAGTGACTGGCTGGTTGGGCTCAGGTTTTACTTAATCTCTGTCTGCATGTGTGAGAATGAAGAGACAGAAATGTAATTTTTATGAACCAGTCCCTGGCACTCAGTAGGTATTCAATAAAACATTTTTCCCCCTCTGTCTTTTCATAAAATTTTCCTAATGTCTCTCAGGTCTTGAGAAATCTCCCTGTTGGGCAGCAGGGGTTGTGGGGGTTGCACCAAAAGTCCAGTATAGGTTTTTGTCTTATTAGTTATTTTTGGCTCAATATGGATTTTACAAGTATTCCTTAATCTGAGTGGTCCTTAGCAGAAATGGGCCTTTGCGGGAGGACTTCAGAGATGTATTCAGGTATATCCTGGAATCCCTTGTTTGCCTGGAGTTTAATATCTCAGACCAGACTTCTGGGCAGAAAGCAAGCATCCTGTCTATCAGTGGGCCAGCGAGTCCTTGCTGCAGGAAGACAGATGTAAGGGGTCACTCAGAACAACTGGTAGTGAACACAGGCTGCGAGAGATCTTGCTGGGTGTGTGTCTGTGAAACTCCAAGATGTTTGGTTTCCTCTTTTGAGAATGGAGATAATCATTCTCAGAATGATTTCAGGTTGAAACTGAAATTTCCAATGGGTGATGTCATCAGTGACACAACTGTGCTTGTGGTAGATAGAATACCAGGGGGGAAGATGGTGAAGCTACTGTATCCATGGGGTTGACTTGTTTCGGTCAGAGTCAACAGACTTTGTTTCTTAGTGGACTAAAATGGTTTCTGAATTTGCACAAGTCTGAGCACCAATGTGCTGGACCTGAGGGTGAGAGTTTGGTGGGAGAGAGAGAGCAAGACATTCAGTGGGAGGGTCCCAGGCTGGGAAAACTCAGTGAACTGGAGAAACTCATATGAGACCAGGGAAGGAGCACTTGGGAGAGGAATGGGATAAAGTGGAAAAGAAGACCAGAGGTGGGGCCATCGAGGAGGGGGAAGCAGATGAATCCATTGAAGAGATAAGGCAGAGAGTTGCCATTAGCTAACTTGAGAGAATCATTCCCTTGGAAGGAAATGAAGTTGAGGAGGTGAGGCAGGGGCACCCATGAGGAGGCCACTCCTTGGGCTGGATGAGAAATAAGGGTGGCCTGTAACTAAGTGCTGGCTGTAGCTATAGATTTGAGGAACATCTTGAACATTATGGTAGGTTGGAAATAGACTAGATGTAGAGCAAAGTGCCAAGGATGCTCTTCAAGTTTCTGGCAGAGATAACCGGGTGGACACAGGTGGTCTTTACTGAGATGGGGCAACTGCAGGAAGGGAGGCTGCTGAGGAAGACGCTGTGCTTCAGGGTTTTCCTTCAGGCTTTTCCAGGTGCACAGGCCATTTAGGTGATACTAAAATATTAGCAAGCCACAGGGCACTCTCCATTCAGTGTGAGCAAGACCAGGGTTTCAGAGTTGGTTCTGGAGGTTCCTGATGCTTCTTCTTCTGTTGGTGAAGAAGAGACAAGCACTAGGGGCTCTTCCAAGGCTCAGGCCTGGGGTGATTACCAACCAACATGAAGTCATTTCTGTAGTGAACAGGACTATGCATAGGGGTAGGTGTTGGTCTTGGCTGTGCCACATTCAGTCCTACTTCTGACGTCTAGAAACAGACAACTTGCAATGTAGCAGCTGTTGCACAAACAGTCCCTGTCTCTGGCCTGGAGGGCTGTCTCAGTGTTCCTGAACCTACTCTGCTTCCTGCTCCAATCATGCTGTTTATTCCTCTAAGACCTGAGGTGCCCAGTGCAGAGGGCGGGGCAGAGTCTGCTGTACTGCTTTTTGACAAGCTTTCTCTTTCTAGTGGTGGAAGGAGCAGGAGAAGGGTGGATTCTTTGGGCTGGAGCCCCAGGGCCTAGTCTCTACAGATTCCCCTGCAGCCTAGGCCAGGCTTTGCTTCTTCTCTACTTCCTGGGAACCAACTACCTCTCCACACGAGGAAGCAGGGCACCCAGCCTCTGCTCTGGCAGCAAGGTTTGGGTCTCTGAGTGCAGATTCAGAAGGCCCCTGAACCTCGTGAAGCTGCTGTGTTTAGAGAGCTCCAGCCTTTCACGGCAGGTAAGTTGGTTTTGAGGACACTTGTGGGTCAAGAGGAGGTAGCAGGGAGCAGCTGGCTGTGAGGCAGAGGCTGAGAATGAGGTGAGGCTGGGGGGTGGGGTGGTGGCTACAGGAAGACCCAGGAGAACTTTTGTGAGGATCTTTTACCCTGAGTCAGAAATCTTCCAGAGAGAGGAAGAGGATTCGCCTGTGGGTTAGGAACTGACTGGGTATCTGCCGTGTGCAGGGCCATGTCCTTGGTACCAAGCAGGAAAGGGTGGGGTGGGATTGAAACGAAGGTGACTGATACAGGCAAACAAGCAGGACAGGGTGCCTGTGCCCAGATACCCTGCCGGTTCTCTCCATCAGTCTCCTCAGGGAGGATGTATAGTCTGTTCTGATGCTTCTCAGTGATTCCCTGCTCACAATTAGGGAACAACAGAACGTAAGCAGGACCGGGTATGCCCTTCATGGCAAGGGGACTGGGTCCGGGCCCACTGTCCTGGGGAATCACTGGTGTGTGTGAACAGTGAAGTAGAGGGATAGTTTCTCCCACAGGCCCAAGGTGTTGAGGAAGGAAGAGCCTGGTTTTCTGAAGGGTGGGCCTGCGCAGTGGCTGCAGTTGGGGTGGAAAGGGAAGCAGTGTTTTTTTAACCCAAGCAAATCTAAAGGTTCTCTAGCTGCACCGAGACTTTCAAAAAGGCAGGGAGGAGTCTAGGATCAGCCCTTTCTCTGTATCAGGATTGTGTGGGGCCTACCACCCCATTAGCTTACTGAGTCAGTAGGGAGGGCTGTGCTCCTGCTTGGGACTGTTGCCAGCCCTGAGCCCTGCTGTCCCCTCTGAGGTCCCACTGCTCCCTCAGTCTTCACCTGCCTCCTGCCCTGCCTCTCCCCAGCTTGGAGGAAATGGAAGATTGCTCCAGCTACTCTGTGCTCTGCCATCTCACCTCCCTGTTCCTCCTCATCCAACCACTCACTCAGGGGTCTGCAGGTGAGTGTGTCCCCACCCCTCTTCCTGAGTCTCCCTCAGGTGGGTGGGATTCCTAGTGAGTGGGGTGCCCAGATACCCTGCCGGTTCTCTCCATCAGGAACAGTGGCTGTTGCTGGAGGCCCTTCTCTAGAGAAGTTATGATTCTTCCCAACTACTCATTGTAGTTATACATTTAAGAACAGTCACCGAAGCATAAAAAAAAGATGAGACCTGACCAATTGTCCAGAGGAGTGTGTGATGTTTTTAAAAAGTCAGCTATCAGATGAGAAAATACTTCTTTCCTCTTTGTTTCCTGGCTTTATTGGTATTCTGAGCACTTACTCATTCATTAATTCATTGCATCCCCAAAATACTTACAGTGTCATCTATGTCAGAACTGTTATTCTATGAATAAAAGAAGACAAATTCCCTACCTTCATAGAGCTTGCATTCCAGCAGGAGACCGTGAATAGCTAATGCAACAAACCAGTCAAATCTGGTGTGTTAGCGGAGCCAAGAGGTGGAATGTTGCAGTAGAACAGGGAAGGAGTCAGGACTGTGGGAGATGGGTGTGGCCAGGGTGGACAGGGAGATGGGCAAAGACTGGATGAGATGGGCCAGTGAGCCCTCGAGGATAACAGCAGCCCGAGGCTGGCAGTGTGCTCTAGGAACAGAGGAAACAAGTGTGGAGCAGAGGGAGCTGGAGGGAGAAGTAGGAGTTGGGGTCACAAAGGTATTGGCAGTCATCCCTATGCACCCCACAGGCCTCTGGGGACAGTGGGGAGCATTACAGGGCTCTGAGCAGAGTAGGGACATAGTTTTGCTTACAGGTGAAAAGGGGTCACAGGCATGAGGGTGGGGAGGAGACAAAGAGAAAGATGAGTTACTGTTGTCCTCCAAGTGAGAAGTGATGGTGACTCAAGCTGAAGTCAAGCAGCATACACAGGTGACAAGCAGCATACACAGGATGTCCAGCAGGGCTGGTGCTGCAGAGGAGTCATGTCATGGCCTCCAGTCCTCAGTCCTCAGAAGGCTGAGGGCTCTTGGAGAAGTGGGGGTGGTGGTAGATGAACCTTTTTAAAAAGATTTTATTTATTTGTTTTTAGAGAAAGGGAGGGAGAAAGAGAGGGAGAGAAACATCCATGTGTGTTTGCCTCTCATGTGCTCCCTACTGGGGACCTGGCTTGAAAACCAGGCATGTGCACTGACTGGGAATTGAACTAGTAATCTTTTGGTTCACAGGCTGGTGCTCAATCCACTAAGCCACACAAACCAGGGCTGAACCTTTTTTATGTTTTTTAACAGGCAGTGTTTTGAGTTTCTGTAAGCAATGGGAGTGAGGGCAGGTATTAATGGAAGTAGCATTTGGCTTCAATTTTTATTTTTACTTATTATTACTTTATTTTTAAATATTGTTTTATTTTTAATATATTTTATTGATTATGCTATTACATATAGTTGTTTCATTTCCTCTCTCATTCCCCTCCCACCTGCATATTTTCCCCCTTTAGTTCATGTCCATGGGTCGTACATACAAGTTCTTTAGCTTCTACATTTCCCATACTATTCTTACTCTCTCCCTATTTTCTACCTACCATCTATGCTACTTATTCTCTGTACGTTTTCCCCTCTCTCCTTCTTCTTGTCGATAACCCTCCATGTGTATTTTATTTTATTTTTTAATTAAAATTTTTTTATTGTTGTTCAAGTACAGTTTTCTGCCTTTTCCTCTCACCTCTCCCCACCACCCCAGCCCTCCCTGCCTCCCTCCCCCATTTCCACGCCCCCCTTGCTGTTGTGCTTATGTCCTTTATAATTGTTCTGTAAACCCTTCAGCCTTTTCCCCCATTATCCCCTCCCCTCTCCCTTCTGATCACTGTCAGCCTGTTTTCAATTTCAATGTCTTTGGCTATACTTTGCTTGCTTGTTCTGTTTTGTTGATTAGGTTCCTGTTACTGGCAAGATCACGTGGTATTTGTCTTTCATCGCCTTGCTCCAGTTTTTAGTTCACAGTAATTCAGTATAGGAGACAGACATGTGCACATAAAGTTCAGGGTAGGAAGAGTGAAGTTCCTGGGTGTGGCTGAGTGACCATGAGTTTAGACCTGGGCACAGGTGTGCCCTTTGGTCAGTTTTTAGTCCTGTCCTAGGAGGGGCCAGGTTAGAGCTGTGGTTCTTAAAGTGTGGTCTCCAGAGCATCAGCATCAGCTTCCTGGGGAACTCCTTAGAAATTTACATTCTTGGGTCCCCAGACCTACTGAATCAGGAGCTCTGGAGGTGTGACCCAGCGATCTGTGGGTGATTGTGATGCACACTAAAGTTAAGAATCACTGGCTCACCAGACAGGAGAGGAGAGGGAATTTCAGGGGAAAAGGGGAAGGGTTTACAGGAATAAGTATAAAGGACACATGGACAAAAACTAGGGGGTGAGTTGGAAATGGAAGGGAGGTGGGCAGGGCTGGGGGGAGTGGGCTGGGATGTGAGTAGAAGACAGAAAACTGTACTTGAACAACAATTAAAATTAAAAAAAAGCAAAACAATATACATAAAAAAAGAATCACTGGCTCGGAGTCTTTCACAGAAGGGTGTGAAGACAGGAGCAGAGGTGATAAGGGAGTCATTTTGACATCATTTTTGGGTCAACGAGGTTGTTGTCAGATCTTCCCCTGATTCAGAGCTGGTACTCATACCATCAGGTCAGGATGGATTGACGCCTGGGCCCACCTGCCTGGGCCCTCTCCCCCGATGGTGTGTTCCCTGCTCCCAGTCCAGTACCTCCATGTTTCTCACTCTCATGTCTGTGTCCACAGAGTTTTTCGTCATTGGCCCCTCAGAACCCATTGTGGCAGTGCTTGGTGGGGATATCACACTGCCCTGTCGTGTGAACCCGGCCATGAATCTGGAGAACATGGAGCTCCGGTGGTTCCGCTCTAAGTTCTCTGAAGCTGTGTTCATCTATAAAAATGGCTGGAAGCAGGAGGACGAGCTGATGGCCCAGTATGCAGGGCGGACCTCTCTGGAGAGGGAGCTCCTCACCCAGGGGGAGGCTGCCGTGCGCATCCAGAAGATTCAGGCTACAGACGACGGGCTCTATTCCTGCTTCTTCAGAAAGGGAGACTTCTATGAAGAGGCCAGTTTGGAGCTGAAGGTGGTAGGTTAGTGACTTGATCTGTATTCCTAGAGTCTTGGAGTGCTGGAGTTGGGAGGAACTTGAAGGACTGTAATTCAGCTTCTCATTTTATAGATAATAAAAAGGGGGCTCATTCACTCATTCATGTATTCACCAAAATATATAGACCCCCTACTATGTGTCAGCTCCTGTTCTGAGCACCTGGGATACACCAGTGAACCAAAGACCCCTGCCCTGTGGAGTTGTAGTCTGCAGACAATAAATAAATACACAGATAAGTAGGTTATAGAACATGTGAAGTGGCAGTAGTAGTTGGGTAAAAGGCCAAGCAGAACGGGAGAAGGGGACTAGGATGTAGGGTGAGAGATGGAAGGCAGGCTTCACTGTCACATAGCAGCTTAAATTGGGTCTTATTGGCAATCAGAGCAAAAGTTCAAAGGAAGTAGGGATTTGGCCAAGTGGCTACCTGGGGGATGAGGATGCTAAGCAGAGAGAACACCCTGTGGGAAATCTGAGCTAGGAGTGGGGCTGGTGTGTTCTGGGCACACAAAGAGGCCATCATGGTTTGTTTGTAAGATGAGTGAATGGGAGGGTGGTAAGAGGTGATGATACTGGAAAAAATAGATGTTTCTGGTGTAGGGTGGGATTGATTAACACTGCTTGCCACAGTCAGGAAAAGTTCACAGGGAGCACTCGCCTGAGTAGGCACTTGAGTTCACCAGCCAAGGTCCCATAGAGACTTGAGATTGATGGACTGGGATGTGAGGAGGCAGGTGATTGTGGTTTTGAGCAGTTAACAAACAGTCATTGTGGTCGGAATATGTGCGCCTTGAGGGGCACAGATGGTAGGAATTGGGGGTAAGTAGAGAAGACAGTTGGGAGGGAGGCAGATGCCAGATCATCAGGTCACTGAGGAGAGTGCACAGAGCAGTGCGGGGAATGTGCTCTTTGTCAGCTGTGAGGGTGGATGAAAGGTAGGCAAGGCTGGGGGCACGGATGCAGTTATGAGGTCGGGGGGTGACCACCTATCTTCATGGATTGGCACTAAGGTGAGCGGGAGGATTAGACATTATGAGGTTTATAAAGTAGATCCAACTGGGTGTGTAGATTTGGGGACATGGACAGCTTTCTGGCAGAAGTGGGGACTCCTGGGGTTTGCTTAGATTAGTAATGAATGAAAATACTTTTATTACTGAGTAAGCATTACACCAGAATATGGCAATCATCACAGGCACTCTACTAATATAGTCGAGCAGCAGATGTAACACACTGCATATGTGTTTTCAAGATAAACCTACTAATTCTCAAGAGAGAGAAATTGAAAGCACCATGGTCACACGTAGTTTACCCTAAATGTATCTGCTAATAGGGGTGACCATCTATGTTAGCTAATTGGGAGAAAAATAAATTCTCGTATTCTTTTAAAATGATTATTTATTTTAACCCAGGTATGTGCCCTGACTGGGAATCTGACCGGTGACCCTTTAGTCCGCAGGCCTGCGCTCAATCCACTGAACTACACCAGCCAGGTCCAAGTTCTTATATCTTTGTGACAGGAAGTGGTTTTACAACTTAGAGCATGGTGCCCACTAGGGGAGGTTAGACTCCTTCCCTCCCACAGGAAAGGGGAAAGTAGGGTGCTATCATCTCACCATTTCAAAGAGATGGCTCTACTTCTCTCCCTCAGGTGTGGGCTCTGCCCCTCAAGTGCGCATCACGGGGCCTGAGGAGGATGGGGTTCAAGTGGCGTGCACGGCCTCAGGGTGGTTCCCGAAGCCCCAGGTGCAGTGGAGAGACCTCAGTGGAGAGAAGTTCCTGGTGTTCTCTGAGGCCCACGCCCAAGACGCTGAAGGGCTGTTCAGCGTGGAGGCTGCTCTTGTGGTGAAAGACCGTTCTGTGGGCAGTGTGATCTGCTCTGTGCTCAATCCCATCCTGGGCCAGGAGAAGGTGATGGACATTTTCATCCCAGGTCAGAGCTGCTCCCTACTCCCAGCAGAGCTGGAGGGCGGGGTGGGGCCCTGAGTGTGCCGGGCTGGGCTGTCCTGAGCTGTGCCTCTGATGGGGTCTCTGGCTGGGTGCAGAACCCTTTTTTCCCCAGTCCTCTCCGTGGAAACCAGCTTTCTTGGTGAGCCTGACCGTGCTGGGGCTCCTACTCCTTGGTGCTGGCTATTACACCCAGAGAGGACATTCTGCAAAGCAGAAGGAGCTGCAAGAACAGAAGGCTCTGTGCCAGGCTAAGGAGAAGGACAGGAAGGCAAAGGAGGAGGCGCTAGAGGCCAGAGGTAAGGCAGGACAGAGGACAGGGCCCAGGGCCCAAGGCTGGTTGGTGTGGCAGGCGGTGCTGAGAGGAACAGACGGATGGCAGCATCAGGGTCCGGGGCTCCAGCTCTCCAGGGAGACCCAGGTCTTTGGTCCAGAGCAGGTGGCTGCAGAGATCCAGGGAGGGCAGCTGGAGGCTCAGGTGCATCTGGAGCTGGAACTTCTAGGATATAGAAAGGTTGTCTGGGAATACCATCTTTTCTTTTTCTAGGGATGGGAGTTCATGCCTTTTATTCACTCTCTTTCAGATAAACTCCAAGCAGAACTCGGTAAGTTTTGCTTTTCCTCCTGATCTCTCTGTCCCCTTCGTGGTAGACATTCTGGTTCTTAGCTCACCTGTTTCTGTTGCTGTCTTTCAGACTGGAGGAAGACAGTTTACCTGGCTGGTGAGTGACTCTCCCATGTCCTCGAGTCTCCTGTCCCACCTGCGCCGAGGTGTCCCTCTCCTTGTTTCTGTCTCGGCACACACATGTGTGTTCCCAGTCCCCTGAGATACTGGTCTTTTCTGCTTCCTAATGCTCTGATCCCATCTAAGGTGTGTTTCTTCCTCTAAGCCCCCTTGGTTGCTGAGGAATTAGTTGCTTTAGGGCAGGTGTTCTGAATCTGGGGTGCTCTGAATTTAGGGCAGGTGTTCTGAATCTGAACCTTTCCTTGGGGCAGAAGTGGGAGCTCGTGGGAAGCAGAACCCTGCCCCATGGGCTTTTCCAACCGGGGCTACTGTTTCCCATCTGGTGCTTGGCAACCAGGTGTGATGGTAGCTCCTGGAGTTGGTCATGCATCCTGGGTCTCATTCCAACTCATACTTAGCCACTATATTAATTTTCTAGCCTTCCATGCACCCAGCTCTCAGCAGCACCTGGAAATGAGCCGTATAAATGAATAGGGTCGTCAAGTTTAGGATTGTAACCTTCAGCCTTCCCCCAAAACATCATCCAGGGAGAGTTTATTCTCTCCAGGTTCTGAAAGTTTTAATCAAAAAGTCATGGGAAAGGACTGGGTTGATCACACAGAGGAATGTGACCAATGAGCTGTCAATGTCTCAAAACAGTGATGTTTATCTTTGAAATCACTTATCTGACAAAGATTGGCCACTTTTACCTCAGAGGTCAACTCACCTCCCTGTCCTTAAATTAATTCCCATTTTGAGTTATTTCCCAAGTATATGTTTGCCAGAAAAAGATTGGATATGAAAGTGCTTTCTTACAATTATGGAATAATTTATATTTTGTTCCCTAAAATATTTTCAAACACACAGTATACTTCTTGATTCTGAGTAGAAACACTGAGCAGCAGGTCGAACGGGAGTTTTTGAGGTTGTTTTGGCGCAGAACAGCTGACTGACTTGCCAAAAGTCACTCAAGTGCAACTGGCCAGTGCTGGAACTCTGCCTGTAATGCAGGCCTCCTGACCTGTGATCGGGGTCTCCCACAACACATGCCATGTGGACACCCCAGAGGTCATCTCCTCTGCGTTTCCCCCTGTAGATAGTCTCACCTGTAGGATGGGAGAGGCCAGGAGATTCACGCTGAGCAGGCTTCCGGTGTCTGAGGTCTCACCACAGTGTGTTCCCTTTCAGCCTGGAGGAAGGCCCAGCTATATGCAGGTAAGTGGCTCAGTTTCCTGTGGCTTCACCTCCCCAGCCTTGACCCTGTCCCCTTCTCTATCAGAGGACCTCACTCCAGGATGGGGTTGGCATCCCTGTTCTCCTTGTCACTTTTGTAGCCTCCATCCGAAGAGTGCGGGGACTCCTCCTTTTCTGGGCCCATCCTCTGCTGTAGGTCGCTATTAGGGTTGGCAATTCGTTTTGAACACACCTTGTTCTACTGGTACTTCTTGGTGCAGTGACAGTTGTGAGGAGAGTCTGCAGGTGGGTGGTGCTGTGTAGATCAGCAGTTTCTCTCTAGGAGATTTCAGAAACCCTGTTTGCTTCAGGACTCCGGTCTTCCTAAGAGGGTCCTTGGTTTTGGATCCTTCTTGCTTTGAAATTCCTCCCCTTTTTGGATCTAGTTTTGTTTTTTCCATTTGTTCCCAGTCCCCTGAGATACTGGTCTTTTCTGCTTCCTAATGCTCTGATCCCATCGAAGGTGTGTTTCTTCCTCTAAGCCCCCTTGGTTGCTGAGGAATTAGTTGCTTTAGGGCAGGTGTTCTGGATCTGGGGTCTAGAACCTCCAGGATGTTTATGCTCTGGGGTGGGAATTTGTGAAAGAGTTAAGGTTATATGCAAAATTCTGCATATGTTTGTGTAACACGAATAAAAATGCAAATTATAATTGTTCACACCAATTATTTCTCCTTTTAGGAGAATTTGTATTTGCCTGGGATGCTCAGTCCTGGTTGTTTGTTAGGGCAGGGTGTGAAGATTACCAGAGGAGAAACCTGCAGGAGTTGGAACTGTTTTCTAGAGTAAAGGTGGGGAGCAAACCATGGAAGACCAGCCTTAGTGGATTAGAGAGGAGTCAGGAAGGAGGTGGAATGGCCAAGATTCAACTTGTAGGGGTTTTGGGTGGTTCAGAGTGGTAGAATTGAGACCACAGGTCACACAGCCATGGTGGCTTGAGTTGGGGAGTTCGCAGAGTGTTTGCAAGTTATTGGGTGCATGGAATGTCATCATATCCTTGATGAATTTCAGTAAAAGATATATTTATTTTTAGGCCATTTTGAAGTAACCATTTAATCGAGTTTGCCTGTGATGGTGGGATAATCTCAACCTTCCACTGGCAGTCAGGGCAGGAGTGTGGTGTGGTGGATCCTGAGGCAATGAAGGATGGTCCCAGGACCCTTCAATACTTGGGAGTTAAGGATCTGTGCCCCCTGCACACAGAAGACATACTTTTCTCTGCTCCAGATGTTTCTGTTTACGGGCAGGGATACAGAGTGAGAGACAGATTGGGGTAAGCCATGGGATGACGGAGGTCTTGCAGGGGTGTCCAACCTGTGGCCCAGGGACTGCATGCAGCCCAGGATGGTTGTGAATATGGCCCAACACCAAATCGTAAATTTACTTAAAACATTGTGTGTTTTCTTGTGACTACGTGTCACAATGTATTTAATGTGTGGCCCAAGGCAACTCTTCCTCTTCCAGTGTGGCGCAGAGACACCAACAGGTTGGACTTCCCTGCTGTAGAGAGCCTTACTGATTCTCCCCAGGATTTGTTTCTATACAGTGATGGTCACCTCCCCCTTACCTGCAGAATTAAAGTGCATGTGTTCTAATATATACCTGTATCTTTTTTATTTTGTAAGGATAAACATCATTACGTTAGAATCAGTATTTTCATATTGACAGGTCATAGTGTGAGGTGGACAAATGTGTAATCTCATCTTATTCATAAAATTGAAACAATAATGTTCAATTTAAAGATTTGCTGTAGAAATTAGATAAAGAATGTACCGAAGTGCAAAGCACTTAGTCCATTATGGAGTCTCAGAATTTAATGGCAATTTTCCTGTCTCCTCCACCCCTTCTCCAGTCCTCCTTCTAGGTGTGGCTGGTAGCCACAATTTTGCACACCAAATGTGCAAGAAAAACATCATTTACTTATTTCTATAAGTGTTTTAATTTTGTCTCAAGTCTCTATCTTGTTGGAGGCAAAAGCAGAGATTTCATGGTTTTATGACATGTATAAACTTTGCTTTGGCCAGTGAGTTTCTTTTCATCTTCCCTGAAGTGAGTATGGAGTTTGGAAGTGGTTATGTGGCCCTGGGTCAGTGGGAGAGGGGTCCCTGTGTTTTTCTTTTAGTTATTTTAGGTGCTCACCCCTGGGAGGCTTGCCTGATCTGCTCCTTAGGATCCTTGGGTTGGGGTCTGCTTAGGAGGGGCAGGTCCCATCTACCTGTTTAGAGGAATTTGTGGTTCCCCCACTCCTGCCCCTATCTCCTCATTCATTTCTGTAAAGTTTCCTTTGGCATATCATATTTGCATGTTAAGGGGCATAGGACATGGCATCTTTGTGGAGCTCACCACAGCAGGATTTCTCTGGAAGCTTCTAATCTCTCTTGGCAATTATAGAAGGAAACAGATGACTGATCCAATATTTTTGGGTTCTTTTTTGGCTCTTACTACTCATGAAAGGGGAAGAAAATTTATTAGTGTTTGTCCTCTTACTGAATGCATGTCTTCCCTGCTTTGAACCTCTCTCTCCCTTTCCTAAAACTTCTCCCTTGGCCCCTAACTGGGCAAGATTTCTTTGATGCTCTGTACCAAGTCCTCTTCACTCATAGCTTATAGTCATCCTTTGAGATCAGCCCAGCCAAACTGTATTCTCTCTACTCATGGCTTAGAGACACCGTACAAGTTAGGCTCAATCAGTTCTTCATTAGAAAGTGGACATTTTGCTCTCCCTGATTCTTTTAGAGAAAACCTAGCTTTCAGAATGGTTGTGTGGTTTGGGACTTGAGAAAGCAACTTTGGTACCTAAGTCCAGGCCTTTCTGCTTAGATAGGTATCCTGACTCTTAATCTCTGAGCATTAAGCTTTATGGGAAGGTTGTGGCACAATGGCTCTGTCAGTGAGTGTGTGTGTGCACATGTATGCCTCCGTATGCATGTGTATATGTATATAATAACATAAATGCATCAGCTGAATGTTTCCAAAAACAATTCCCCTTGTCAATCCTGCATCAGTGTGTTTCAAACAACTAGGCCCTGGTCCTGATGTGTGCGGCCTGTGAATCTCTGATGTAAAATGTGGTTCTCTTGCAGATTGGCGGCAGGAGAAGTTCCAGGCCTGTGAGTGACTATGTGCTTTCTGGGTGTTCGTCCTGCAGCTGCTACAACTTTTGGCCTCTCCTTCAGTTCTCTGTGGTGATACAGATGCTGGCACCATCAATGGTGGTGGGCTGGGTGACAGAGGTGATAGCACATAGCTGCTAATTGTACTGGATATCAAATAGATATCCCTCACCCTTGAGGACCAGTCCAGGCTGTTCCTCAAGGTCGCTCTGACATGTCTAACTTCAAATAAGTTTTGTGGTTCCTTCTCCTGCTTGGAGGGCTGTGGGCTTGAGTCATAAGGCTTTCATCTCAGGGGAACTTAGCTTTCCCGCCATGTAGCTAAGTGTCTGGATGGGCGGTGGGGTGGTTGTATGCCCTTGTTGTGGGGCTGGGGAGGGCCTTGCATAATTGGTACCTCTCTCTGCAGGGTCTGTCACTCTGAATCCACGCTCTGCCAGTCCCAACCTTATGATCTCTCCTGAGAAGATGAGGGTGACCTTGAAGGACACCAGTGAGGACTCAAATAGCACCTGCAGCGTGTTGGGCGTTGAGGGCATCACATCAGGGCGCTGTCACTGGGAGGTGGAGGTCCCAGATGGAGACAAAAGTGAATGGGCTCTGGGGGTCTGCAGGCAATATGTGAAAAGGGAAGGCTGGTACAGAGAGTCCCCAGATAAGGGGTTCTGGGTTGTGGGGAAGTTTGGTTCTCAATATCATGCCTGCACTTTAGATAAGCATAAGACTGTGTTATCTTTGAGGCAGTTTCCCCACAGGGTGGGTGTTTTCCTGAACTACAATGAAAGAGATGTCTCTTTCTATAACATGACCGACGGTTCCCACATTTTCTCCTTCCCTCAAGCTTCCTTCTCTGGGACCCTCTTTCCATACTTCAGTCTGAGGTCAGGGGTTGGGTCCCTGATCATCTGCCCCGTGGAGGGTGTGCCTGAGAGGTCCTCTGTGCCCCTTAATAATTCTCCAGAGGAAACTGTGAGCCTCCCAGGGGTGAGGTTCAGCTCAGGCTGCAGTGTTGATGAAGTTCAATCTCCACTACTGCCCTGCAGTGTGGAGGCCGTGCCCCCTCACTGTTCCTATCCCCTTACTGAGGCTTTTCCTGGAGATGCAGACTGTGGCACCCTTCCTGTGGCAAAGCCTCTGAGCTGAGCCCTGGAACGCCGAGCCCTCCCTTCCTGCTCTGCATTCAGACTGCTTGGTGGGTGGTTATGAGAATAGTCAGTTCATTTCTCCTGCATAGGAGCAGGTTATAAAAGTTGACTGAGCTGGTTTGGAATAGGCTATATTTTGGTATGGGAAGTTTTTTTTTTTTTTTGTAATGAAAAATATTTCATGAACTCATTGTAGTGTTTGAATAGGAAAGAGGATTAGGGGCTGAATTACCCTGCAGGTTTAGCTGGAGTTTCCTTTAACCATCTGGAGTTTAGACAGCAGAATGCAGGGGTTGAGGGTAGTCCCCAAACCCATTTTGGGGGTTCTTCACTATCTGACCAGAAAAGTTGGCCATCCAAAAGTCTCCAGGAAAATGGATGGCTGATGGACTTTTAGGAGGAGAGGAGTCTAATATTCTACCCTCTGTATTTCCTTTTCTGGGATGGGTGGAACACTTGTTTTTTCAAGCCTCAGTAGATTTCTGTTACCTGTGAAAAACCTGTGCCATGTTAATTTAGGAAATGAAGAAGCATCTGGGTTCCCCTTTAGTGTGAGCGAGGTTTCAGTCATCAGTGTATTGCTTCTTAGTACTTCCAAGTCCAATGGTATGGTTAATAGAAAACCACAGCAAAGAAAAGGAAGCATGACTTTGGAGGACTCAGACCTACAGGAATGAAGGTGCATTCACTCTGCCAGGCAGAGAGCTCTGACTTGCTATGGTTCTTACTAAATGTGGAAGACCTGGAGTAGGAAATAGAAGAAAGAAGACGATCAATTCTGACCTGTGACCAGTTTCAGAAATAAGGAGTGAAGTAAAAGCTTTGTATATTTTTCTTTTTTGTTGTATGTGTATGTTTATTTGTTTATATTAACCATTTTCTTTTTCTCTCTTCTTACCCTTATGCTTTTATATGAGTCATTGGGGGTTATGTGTAGTATAGCCTTTAAGTATCAGACTAGTCAATGGGGCTGTGAATTTCAGGAAATTTGCAATATAAATACAGCAATGTTATATACAATGATTGGGACTTTCTGTCTCGACATTTTTGGGAAAGGGTGAGAATTTCTTCCCTTGTAAGGGTAGGTTTGTCTTGATGCTTGAAAAGGTAATTTTTACATGAAAGTTCAAATTTGGTAAATGGTTCATATTGAAGCTGAGCGGCCAAAGGTGTGGACTGTGTCCATTATCAATTTCTTGCCTGTTGTTTTCAAATCCACCCCACATTTGCTGTGTTTTGTGATCCTGGAGCTGGAACGTCCACCTTCCCCCCATTTCTGCTTTGCCATTTGGCACAAAGTAGTTAGACTTTGTCCGCCTTTGCACTGAAGGGGGCGCTGTAGGACATAGCAGAGGAAGCAGATTCTTTTCTCCTGGGAGTGCTTTTCTTCTTGATCCTATGGGGGGCGGGGGGACTGTCAGTGGCCTACAGAAAGCCCCCCATGTTCCCCCACCTTTTGGTGAACTTGACATTGCAGCAGTCTGTTTTCCAGAGGATAACTTTCTCAGGGATCTAAGCAGCACTCCAGTGGGAGGTTTCCTGCCCGCCAGCCTTGGCCTGTGGCACGTCAGTGAACTTCTTCACCTTTCAGAGGGCTGCAGTCCCATCTTGACTAATAAGCTCTGAATCTGCCTTTTGGTCGGAGTCGTCTCCCAAATTTCTCGCTTCTTGTGTCTTCTGCCTTAACTCTCGAGTTAAGTGTCTGTTTCCCATATCTGCTATTTCTATACCCCTTAGAGCTTTCTTTTACTTCCTCTGGTAGTTAACTACTAAACTACCTTCTACTGGTTAATAATTTTGTATATAAAAATTTCCCTGTTCAAATTACTGATGTGGTTTCCGCCTCCTGACTGGACACTGAATCTAAGCATCTAAACCATAATGTAGCTTGGAGGAGGGCATGACACTTCCCCGTGTGGGGGAAAGGGTAGTTGAGGCATTTACAAATGTATTAAAATGGCTCACTTCAAAAATAAGATCATGCAAATACACTCTACAGGTTCCTAGTGTGGACTTTAAGTACGTTATATGTTCATATTTGTATGTCATATTTATGCTCCCTACCATTTAGCTTGCACCCTTGTGACACTATATTACCATATTTGCTCACAGATATTACACACCCACATTTTGAGTGCACTATACACAGGATTATTATACTCATGGCATTTAATCATTTATACCAATGTATAATGTGCATCCTTATTTTTCCCTAAAATATTTGGGCAAAAAGTACACACTGTACATTGCAAAGTACAGTACTTTTGGATGACCTATAGGTATATTTCCTTTGAAATAGACAAGGAAGGCATACATGTGATATGAATTATCCACACAAAATAGGAGTAATTATTATTCCATTAAATAGGAGTTAGTTCAACAATGTATCAGTTAAACAGCCCTGGCTGGTGTATCTCAGTGAATTGAGTGCTGGCCAGTGAACCAAAGTGTCAGCAGTTTGATTCCCAGTCAGGGCAGATGCCTGGGTTGTAGGCCAGTTCCCCAGTAGTGGGTGCGTGGAAGGCAACCACACATTGATGTTTCTTTCCCTCTCTTTCTCCTTCCCTTCCCCTCTCTCTAAAAATAAGTAACATCTCAAAAAAATGTATCAGTTAAACAAGTGGACCAGCTGCCTACATATTGTAATCCCAGGAAGCATCATTAAGATAATCAGTATGGTAGAGTTTTGTCAGAATCGACTTATTTAAGTTACCTAGCTCTGGCTGGTGTAGCTCAGTGGACTGAATGTCAGCCTACAAACTGAAAAGTCAACGGTTCGATTCCTGGTCAGGGCACACAGCTGGGGATGTGTGAGAGGCAACTGATCAACGTATCTCTCGCACATCGATATTTCTCTTTCCCACCCCTTTCCCCTCTCTTAAAAAAATAAAATCTTAAAAAAATGTTATTTACATGTACATTTTTGTATTGAGTTTATCTTGGAAGTTATAGTGATCAAACTTGCAAAGTCATTTTTTGAATTTTTTAATTGTTATTTAGGAAAGTAATTACACAGGAAATAGCTTCTTTCCTGGCTGTGTTTATTGCATCCACACTCCACAATGTGGACCTTCTAAACTTTAATCTGCCTTTGTTGTACTGGAGCACAACTCACTTTGCTTCTTCAGGAGCCTCTCTGCCTCTCATCAGGCACAGGTTATGTGAAGGAACCTCCTCAGGTTTCCTAAGGTGCAAACTAACCTTCAGGCTGGCTCCACTTCACTGATCACAGAGAAAGGCTGCGGTAAGTCTTCATTTGAGCAGTACTATCCACTCTGGATGTTCCTGGAATTGTAATCTTTTGTTTTAACTTCTTTTTTAATTTAAAAGTTTTAATATGTTTTATTGATTATGCCATTACAGTTGTCCCATTTCCCCCACTTCATTCCCCTCCACCATGCACACCCCCCAGGCCCCCTTTAGTTCATGTCTATGTGTCTCAAGTTCTTTAGATTCTCTATTTCCCACACTATTCTTGCCCTCCCCCCGTCTATTTTCTACCTACCATCTATACTACCCATTCTCTGTAGCTTCTCCCCCCTTCTCCTCCTCCCACTCCCCTGTTGCTAACCCTCCATGTGATCTCCATTTCTATGGTTCTGCTCCTGATCTAACTGTCCTCTTAGATTGCTTCAGTTTTAGGTGTGGTTGTTTTTTTTTTTTTTAATAATTTTTTTTTAATTTATTTATTTATCTTTAGAGGGGAAGGGAAGTCCTTGAGAAAGGGGAGAAACATCAATGTATGGTTGCCCTTTTCCATCCCCTGCTGGGAACTGGCCTGCAGGGAACCGGCCTGCAACCCAGGCATGTGCCCTGACTGGGAATTGAACTGCGATTGTCTGGTTCGCAGGCCCGAGCTCAATCCACTGAGCTATACCAGCCAGGGCGGTGTGGTTGTTAATAACTGTGAGTTTGCTGTCCTTTCACTGTTCATATTTTTTATCTTCTTTTTCTTAGATAAGTTCCTTTAACATTTCATATAATAAGGGGTTGGTCATGATGAACTCCTTGAACTTGACCTTACCTGAGAAGCACTTTATCTGCCCTTCCATTCTAAATGAAAGCTTTGCTGGATAGAGCAATCTTGGATGTAGGTCTTTGGATTTCATGACTTGGAATACTTCTTTCCAGCCTCTTCTTGCCTGTGAGGTCTCTTTTGAGAAGTCAGCTGACAGTCTGATGGGAACTCTTTTGTAGGTAACTGTCCCCTTAGCTCTTGCTGCTTCTAGGATTCTCTCCTTCATTTTAATCTTGGGTAATGTAATTATGATGTGCCTTGGTGTATTCCTTCTTGAGTCCAACTTCTTTGGGACTATCTGGGCTTCTTGGACTTCCTGAAAGTCTATTTCCTGTGCCAGATTGGGGAAGTTCTCCTTTATTATTTGTTCAAATACGTTTTCCACTTGTTGCTATTCCTCTCCCCCTTCTGGTACCCTTATAATTCAGATGTTGGAACGTTTAAAGATGTCCTGGAGGTTCCTAAGCCTGTCCTCATTTTTTTGAATTCTTGTTTCTTCATTCTTTTCTGTTTGGTCATTTTTTTCTTCCTTCTGGTCCACTCCCTTGATTTGAGTCCCAGTTTCCTTCCCATCATTATTGGTTCCCTGTACATTTTGCTTCATTTCACTTAGTGTAGCCTTCATTTTTTCATCTAATTTGTGACTAAACTCAACCAGTTCTTTGAGCATCCTGATCACCAGTGTTTTGAATTGTGCATCTGATAGGATGGTTATCTCTTGGGCACTTAGAAGTATTGGCTCTGCGGCTTTGAGCTGTTCTTCTTCTTGAGCCATATTTTTTTTGTCTGTTTGCACCTGTTACATATGAGGGGCAGAGGCCTAGGTGTTCACCAGGGTGGGGCAACCCAGTCCCTGGGTTGTGATGCTGTATGTGGGGGTGGGGTCAGAGAGGGACAATAGCTTCTTTTTCCCTGCTCTCTCTCAAATTTTGGTCCCCTATGCTGCTTCCCACCAGCAAATTGGGCCCTTCTGGTGCTAGTTCCCAGATGTATGGGCTTGTGCACCCTCCAGAACCCTGTGGGTCTCTCCAAGAAACTCTCCAAGAGCTGGAAGCATCTCCCAGCACCTTGACTCCCAAAAGTTTTTCCAATTGGTGCTTTTAAGCTTTAATTCCTGGTGCTGGGGCCCTGGGTTGCATGGTCTGTCTTACTGCTTGCTCCTTTGCCTGGTTTTTCTGCACACAAATATGTGACCACGGTCAGTCAGCTGCCTTGTGTCTTCACTGGGTCTGCCCATTGCCACCTTGCGCCTGTGATCTGCCAACTGGCACCTGCGTGCCTGGGTTAGTCCGGCAGCTTTTTCCTGCTTTGACCCCTCTCCACCAGCCGCTGACTCTGCCCCTCTTACCAGTCTGGAAGAACGGTTCGTTGTTGTCAGACTCTGGTACTGTTCAATTTTCTCTCTGTTTTGGTTGCATTCTGGTTTCTAAATATTTGTTGTTCATAAACTTGGTGATGCAAGGAGGTACAGTGTGTCTACCTACACCTTCATCTTGGCCAGACGTTGGAATTGTAATCTTTTACCATCTTTTAGTAACTCTTCAACTATTAGCCATGAAATCTTTTCTTTATATTGTTAAGAAAAACTATTTAAAACCCATAAATTGGCAAGAATTTTGGTGTCATGTCCTGTCACTGTCACCTTGAGACATTAATAGGCTCATAAAAATATTATACAAGGTCTTTCCAAAAGGTATCCAGCCATGTAATATGAAAAATATTGATGTTTATTGAAGAAGATGCAAGATTCAAGAAATACTGTACATAGGACAATGATGTCTCAGTCCCCTTCAAAGTAGGCACCTTGGGACCTTATACAGTTCTCTCAATTGCCATTAGTTGCCCCGTTGTATTTTCCTGAATCTCATCAACAGTCCGAAATCTCTTCCCTTTCAAAGGTTTAGTTTTGGGAAAAGCCAGAAGTTGCAGGGCACCAAATATGGGCTGTAGGGGGACTGAGTCACCTGGGTGATTTGATGTTTTGCCAAAAAACCTGCATGAGATGTGATGCAGGAATGAGCACGTTGTTGAGGTGAAGCTGCCACTCACCAGTTGCCCATTGCTGTGT